ATGCTCCAGGAAACCTTTCCATGTGAGCTGTATAACAATTAGTATTCTGTGAATACTGAGTGCCAGAATACATGTCTAACTCAATCTGTCTGAAATACATAGACCCTCCATGGTAGATCTCCAGAGTCTGTCATATCATACAGGGTAGGGTCTAGACCCTCCTTTAAGAGTCCAGGCTGAGAGAGCATCCTTCTTTGTGGGATGGGCACTCAGAGTTTATTTCTACACCAGGGAAAAATACTACACAAGGCCCAATAGATTATCTAGGCCTCTTCACTGACACCCACATTCAGGGCATCTAGGTCAGTCCCATGCTTTCCACACAGACATCAATCTGGGGTCCAAGAGCTCCCCCTTGTTCAGGTCAACTGTTTCTGTTGTTTAAACCATCCCAGTCTTTTTTCTGCCTTTTTTTAATTTTAATTTTTAAATTTAAATTAAAAACAAGGTTGCTGCACATATCAATTCCAGATCCCTCTCCCTTTCCCTACCCCCCTCCCACCCACTCCCACCAACCCTCCAATATAGCCTCATTTCCCCAGGGAGGTGAGGCCCTCCATAAGGGTGTCCATAGACTGTCATTTCATCCAGGGCACTGCCTAGACCCCCCCTGGGAGTCCAGGGTTAGAGTGCATCTCTCATTGGTGGATGGGCGCCCAAAGTTCATTTGTATACACCAGATAAATACTGATCTAATACCCAAGGCTCAATAGATTACCTAGGCCTCGTCACTGATGCCCCCATTCAGGGGGTCTTGATCAGTCCCATGCTGGAATCCCAGCCATCACTCTGGGATTCAAGAGCTAACCCTTGTCAGGTCAGCTGTTTCTGAGGGTTAAACCAGCCCAGTCTTAACCCCTTTGCTCATCAGTCCTCCCTCTCTGTTACTGGCTTTCTTGAGTTCAGCTCAGTGCTTAGCCCTGGGAGTCTGCCTCTAATTCTATCAGCCACTGAATGAAGGTTCTGTTTCCCAGATTCTCTGGCCATGGGATTGTAGGCTGGCATTGTAGGCTCCTCAGATTTATGGCTCAAATCCATATAGGAGAGAGTACATGACATGTTTCTCTTTTTGTGACTGGGTTACCTCACTCAGGATGGTTTAATACTTTAATTTTAATTATCACTCAATATGTAGATTAAAGGTCATGTGTGTGATACATGTGTAGATGGAGATGACTGCTAGTACTTCCAGAGACCACATATAAACTTCAGACCACCTGAAACAGTTCAAAGTGTTACTGCCTGCTGAAATCAAACCGGGTCCTCAGAAATGGCAGTAAGCGCCCTTACACTCTGAGCCATCTCTCCAAGAGATTCTCTCTAGCTTGCTGACTGAGGATACATGAAGCTAAAGTGAAGAAAAACTCCAAGAGCATGGTGTGTGAGCCATTATTTTCTCTGGAAGCTCTAGATTTCAGAAGGCATAGATACAAGGGGACACCAGACTATGCAAATACAGTAAGCTTAATGAACAATTATGAGACTGTCAATAAACTGACTCAATAAAGTAAAGTCTGAAACACACATTTTAATGCAAAAGTGTTTTATTGAACTTATTGGAAACTGTAATGCTAAGGATGGTGGGGGAAATGACATTCAATTTACATCCCTCTCAAAACCACAGGAAGAGAGATCAAGCTGAATAGTGAGAGTACTGTATGCTCAAAACAAGTTCATCAGCTGGAAGTTATTGTTCCCAAAAGGAATATATGTGCATATATTACAAATCTTATTTAAGGTGGAAAAGGAAAATGCTGGGACCAAACAAAGACAAAGATGGAAGGCAACTCATGCAGTCCATTGTGCTCATTGTCCTATCCTCTGTCTTTATTCCCTTCCCTCTGTCTATGGTCGCTCATACACTGATTGTGCTGGGATGCAATCCCTATCATTTTAAAATGTCTTTTCCTATCCGAGGTTAGGTCTTCACTGTTGATCCTCAGCAGATCAGGGTATCCTGATTCTCCAGGTCAAAGCTTCTCTCTCTCTCTCTCTCTCTCTCTCTCTCTCTCTCTCTCTCTCTCTCTCTCTCTCTCTCTGTCTCTCTCTCTCTGTCTCTGTCTCTCTCTCTCTCCCTCTCCTGAATCAATGAAAAATTATTGTTTCCAAATAAATCCTAAACTCCTGGAATAGATTTATCCTGTGTCTCTAATGAGTCACTTGAGTCCAAGCTTTCATTTCTCAGAGCCCAACAGTGATATGTCATCATTTATTCCCAGCATGAACATAGATGGGACCTCCTGAAACTGAGAAGCTTCTGTATGGCAAAGGACAGAGTCAGCAAGAAAAATGCAGCCCACAGAATGGGAAAAATATTCACTAAGCCCACATCTGACAGAGGGCTGATCTCTAAAATTTGCGAAGAACTCAAGAAGCAAGTCTCCAAAACACCAAATGATCCAATTAAAAAGTGAGCTGCATTATTAAATAGAGAATTTTCAATAGAAGAGTCTAAAATGAATGAGAGGCACTTGAGAAAGTGCTCAACATCCTTAGCCATCCAGGTAATGCAAATCAACACAACTCTGAGATACCATCTCACTCCACTCAGAATGGCTATAATCAAAAACACTAATGACAATTTATGCTGGAGAGTATGTGGTAAAAGGGGAACATTCCTTCATTCCTGGTGGGAGTGGAAACTTGTTCTGCCACTTTGGAAATCAGTATGGAGATTCCTCAGAAAAAGGGGAATAAACCTACCACAAGACCCAGCAACTCCACTCATAGGCAAATATCCAAAAGATGCCCATTCATACAACTAGGATGTCTGTTCCACTATGTTCATAGCAGCATTACTTGTAATAGCCAGAACTTGGAAGCAACCTAGATGCCCCTCAACTGAAGAGTGGATAAAGAAAATATGGTACATTTATACAATGGAGTACTATTCAGAAGAAAAAACAATGGAATCCTGAAATTTGCAGTTAAATGGATGACACTAGAAGAAACCATCCTGAGCGAGGTAACCCAGTCAAAAAAAGAGAAACATGGCATGTACTCTCTCATATATGGATTTTAGACATAGATCTAAATTTTAATTAAAAAAAGATTGGACATCTTATGAAGCCATGTGCTCTGTGTATGTTTTATAAGACACCAGTCTCTAGGATGTCAGGGCCTGCACAGTTTTCAGACCAACTAGGTCAATGCGATGGATAGAAAAAAATACACAGACACAGGTGGACAAATTATGGAATGGAGTAGTATTGTGTTCTGAAGGAGACACAGCAGCAACTCAAGAACGGAGGACACTTATTGAATGCAATCAACAGCAGGGTACAGATACACACGGTAGGGGATCACTGTCAGGAGCAGATGAGAGTTTGCTAAACAATCACAGAGACATTGCTGTGATCCCCAGACTTTCCTGTGGAAAAAGAAAGTGAACCTTGAATATTATCCTGATAAACAGTTCAAAACCAGTCTGAATGGTGTACTGACATCAGGACTGAGAGAGAGACAGAGAGAGACAGAGACAAAGACAGAGACAGACAGAGACAGAGAGACAGAGGCACAGACAGAGACAGAGACAGAGACAGAGAGAAGCATCTTTTGCTATCAACCTTGTCAGAATGTCACTGAAGAAACTACATCCAGACTCACATGAATGTCCTGAAAACAATCTGTGTAGCTTTAGTATCTTGAGTAAGGTGAGTTGGCAAATATTGCTAAGAGCTTTCTGAAGTGGATGCTCATATTTGTCAAGAGTAGAGATGGAACCCTGCATTCCAAAGGAACTGAAAACTTCTTCCACATAGAAATAGAGGTGTGATCAACGTATTCCTTCATACATGGAAAGTATTAACCATTGAGTTGTAACCACAGTCCTTAACCACAAACATACAAAACCTTCTACATTTATCCTCTGCTCTGGAGGTCACACATGGGCATCATCAGTACACCTGCCATTTGGTTTTCAGTCTTTGAAATCCAGCCTCTAGAAGACCTTCATATTTAACTCTATGGATTTATTTTTAATATTTTAATTTTAATTATCATACATTAAGTATAATAAAGGGCATGTGTGTGGTACATGTGTAGATGGAGATGACTGTGAGTGCTCCCAGAGACCAGATATAAACTTCAGACCACCTGAAACAGTTCAAAGTGTTTCTGCTGCTGGAATCAAACACTGGTCTTCAGAAAAGGCAGTAAGCACCCTTACACTCTGAGCCATATCTCCAAGAGATTCTCTCTAGTTTTCTGACTGGGGATACATGAAGCTGAAGTGTAGAAAATTTCCAAGAGCATGGCATGTTGGGTCACTATTTTCTCTGAAAGTTCTAGGATGTAGAACTCTTAGAGCAGAGGGACCCAAGATTATGCAAACAAAGTAAGCATGATGAACAAGTAAGACATTGTTAATAAACTGACTCAATAAATTAAAAGTCTGCAACACACTCTATCATGCGAAAGTGCTTTATTGAACTTATTGGAAACTGTAATGCTAAGGATGGTGGGGGAAATGATGTCTGGCTAACCTGCCTCTTGAAACCATAGAAAGAGAGATGAAGCTGAATAGTGAGAGTACTATATGCTCAATACAAGTTCATCAGGCAGCGTTATTGTCCAAAAAAGGAATATATGTGTATGTATTACAAATCTTTAAGTAAGGTGGCAAAGGAAAATGCAGAGGCCAAAAAATATAGAGAGATGGAACACACCTCATCCAGTCAATTATGGTCTTTGTCCCATCCTCTGTCTTTATTCCATTCCCTGTGTCTATGGTCTCTCACAACCTGATTGTGCTGGAAGGCAATCCCTACCATTCTCAAATCTCTCTTCCTATCTGAGGTTGGGTATGCCCTGTTGGCCCACATCAGATCAGGGTACCCTGATTCTTCATGTCAAAGCTTCTATCTCTCTATCTTGTCTGAATCAATGAAACTATATTGTTTTCAAATAAATCCAAAATCCCTTAGAAGACATGCTTGTGTCTCTAATGAGTCACTTATATACTGGTTTTCATTTCTCATACCCCAGCAGTAATCTCTAATTTATTCCAAACATGAACATAGGTTGACCTTCAGGTCATAGACACAGAATCTCCAGCAACGTAGACATCTCTTACTGAAAAAAAAGGACCTTATTTGGCTTTCTTACACCTCTTAGTGTTTCCAAGAGACCTGAACAATGTTGAGCAAACCTGACTGGCAGCACATGACCAGCGTGATCATAGACTTCAACAGGGGCAGGGTACATCTCCACGTTCAGCTGTTTCAGGTGGGCAGTGTGCTGCAGTAGCTTCTTGAGACTTGACACAGACAGGAAGTTCTGCACAAAACTCACCTCAACCAGCTGGGTACACTGACTCAGGGCAGGGAGGAGAATACCAATATTTAGGTCAGTGAGTATACCCTTCAATTTTAATGTCTGCAGTGTAGCTGTCAGTCTCTCTAGCAGTCTTCCTAGAAGTGCATGACTTAAATCTGAAAGGGTGACACTACTGATTTCCAGATATGTGAGTTGAAGAATGCTGGGACCCTGCGTCAGATACCTCATGTCTGATTCTGATAGCATGCAGCGAGTGATTGCAAGGGTCTCTAAGGGATGCTCCAAGTACCTACAGAAAGACAAAGGAGTTTATCTCAGTTATTCTGACAGTGGTGGAGAAAGGGCATGGACTCAACATAGCAGAGACTATTTAATCCTAAGGTTATTCTGAGAGCATCGTGTAGTCCAAGCACAGGATGCTCCCTGATGGAGAATAATCAGCACATGCATCATTATTGTGACTGTTTCTGTCCCAATTCAGATCCCTCTGCACTGTCCAGAACAAAACCTCATGAGATGACAATTGGTATCAGCAGGAAACCAAGAAGACACCGAACAGGAACATAGTGCCATCGCTGTGTGTGCCAACATTGGTCTCCATAATCCCCACCTTCCTAGCACAGCCTCTGTCCTGCTTGCAGGGCTTCCCTGTGGCCCTAATCACTACCAATCATTTTCGAATGATTAAGGCCCTACCTGTGCTCAAAGAGCATCTGCCACTTTGGGAAAAGGAGACTGATGTAAACTGTGCATACTGTTCTGAGGACAGGGCTGACATGGGGCAACATGAGGTTTATAACACCATGCTCTTTGTAGATCTGCTTTCCCCTCATCTGGGTCCCTGGAAAAGACCTTCTCTAGATCATGGATATTAAAATAGCAGAAAGACTGCTATATCAGTCATCCTCAGGTCATATCAGTGCATACTTGGGGGTGACTGCGAAGACACGGGTGTGTACTGATGTTTCATGTAACACGGAAAAGTTCTTCATGGCCTACAGAGCAAGCTCTGTATCCTCCTCACCTGAGCACTTGGTCCAGTCTTTCATTCAGGATGGAGACACCATTCAAATAGAGATGCTGGAGCTTGTTGAGTTGGGAGAACTGGATAATTATCTCTCTAGAATACCATTCTTGAATCTCTCTGTTAGTAATCCATTCTGTAAGCGTTAAGATTTCATTGAGAATGAGTTTCTGAAGGTTTCTCATCTGGCCCAGACCAGGGGCAAACAATGCAAGGGTTCTCAGGTCCCATTTTCCATTCACTTCCAACACCTGTATAGAGATTGGCTCAAACACCTCCAGCAGCTTTAGGGGATTATAGTCAGGGAGGGCCCCAAACTCCAGCTTTTGACAGATCACCTGCAGCACATCTTTCCTTTGCTTGGCCCACCAGTGGAAATATTTTAGGGATTCACAGAGATCCCTGGAATTGAGGGGAAAGGTTCACCATCACAGTCACAACCTGTTTTCCCCGTTGTATGGGTTGACACACAGAAGGTTGACTCTCACTAACGACATCTGGTGAGCACACACCATGTTCTGATCCAGCCCACACATTCCAGAATTTATGCTGTGCATCCCGAAGATCAAGCACTTCTAGTTTGCAACTCCTGTTGGTCAAACAAGTGGGTGAATCAAATTCCAGGATTACCAATGTACACTCTGCGGAAACCCCACACATCGACTTCCTTAAATCCATTCTGTAAACCAAGATTCTTTCTATTGCTACTGGCTGGGGGAAGAAGAAGCAGAGGTAGAGACACTGTATGTGTTTACACCAATTAAGGTGTGCTCCACACAATGCTGTCTTTTTCTTTTAGGCACCTCTCTAAGAAAGCTCTGATTCAACATGTACCACATTGTGATCTATGTATTCACATCCATCCATCCATACATACATACATACATCCATACATCCATGCATTTCTGCTCAATTCTACCTTTTTCTCACTTACCTACGTGGATCCTCCTGCTTAATCAGCAAGTCAAGGCCACCCAGGATAGCCTTCAAGGTATCCAGTTCAGGAGTCTTCATCAGGGCTCCCACAGGAAGGCATCTGAAAGGCCAGGCTGCCACCATGGCTCTTAAGATATTTGTTTGTTTGCCATCGAAGGCGCTTTGGAATAGGGGTGGGAAGAGTTCCATGGGCAGGGTCTTCAGAGCACAGATAGCCAAGGCTTCATCTTTCAGCAGACTTTTTATTGCCAGCAGCTTGAGCGATGATGGGGAGCTCATCCTGACTATCATATACACAGGTACTGTAGAAAGATCCAGAAAATATACCCTTTCAGACAAAACACTTTTAGTATGCTCCTTTGCTCCTTCATTGCCTAAACCATGCACGGTTTCTGTCACTAGTCCAGAAAGGCTGTAAAAATGTGTATTTCCTATCAGTCCCTATCTGTCTTTCTCATAGCCATAGGTACCTCAAAGGCCTCATGGAGATGAGCACCCATGGAAACAAAACTCTCAGTTCTTCTGTCAATCACAACCACTGTTCTCTGGAATCCTACTGCACTGGGCAAGAAAAAAGTGGAGAATCAAATGAGAAACACACTCTTATGTTGGCAACTATTTTCAAATGTCTCTCATGATCCTCAAGTCCAAACTTAAAGATCCCACAGCCAAGTATTCTTGGCAGTCAATCAACAGAACTTGTTTGGAGAATACAAGAAATGGATAGAGTCACTATTATTTGTAAAATTTTAGAGTCTGGAGTCACACTGAGTTCTAGACCACTCTTTGGGAGTTCAAATACTGGGAATTGCCATCTTGATGCTTTCCTGAGATTCATGACCAACTGATGTTCTGTGGAACTTTCTTCATCTGCAGTTAATAAGTCTATAGTCACTTCGAATTGAATACTTTTATGGAAGACTGGAATTGTTTATCAGTTCTTGCTCAATGTGCCTTGGCCCTTGAATATAGAAACCTCAGCATTCTATTAAAGGGCACAGCAGGTTTGTTCCAAGTGTCAGGAATTATAACACTTAGCTACATATGGACTTCTTATATGCCCCTTTCTTCCTACAATTTCCCTTCATAAAACAACTTCTCAGCCAAATGCTGCCATTTGTTTGGATAACTGAGAATCTCCCGATTGAATCCTACTTGGACTTATACATACATGACTTCAGTGAATCAGATGTGGGAAAGTATGAAATCCCAGATTGTAGTTAAGTCCCAAAAGCCTCTATAATATTTCTTCACAAACTAACAGTTATGAGATACACTGTCTTTCTTACATTGATATATTGGTAATTTCACATATAAATACTCTCTGTGTAACTCAGGCGTATCTGAACACATTATGTACTCTGACTTGATCTGGAATTCTAAGTAATTCTCCTGCCTGAATGTAGTGGTATGATTTGTGTGTGACACCATTTTTATTAGATCCCATCAGGAAAGAGAAAGATCTTAGTCTATGCTGACAGTAAAATCCCATTTCCAGAGTCACCACAAAACACTAAGGATTCATCTATGTATTGTTAATTAATTAATGAATTTGGTTGTTTGTATCTGCTTTACCTTTTAAGGAATGGTTGCCTAGAAGAGTAGAATCTACCTGTGGGATTCAGTACCCTCCCTATGATTGTGGAACAGCATCTAAATAGGGCATGATCATGAGGATTACATCTATGTTTAGGAGAGACAATGAACTGAGATCCTGGTGAAGATTAGGATGTCTTTTGTATTGTTTTTTGAGACAGTATTGCTCTGTGTAACAGACCAGGAACGTGCTCTGGAGATCAGGCTGGCCTGGAACTCACAGAGATCTGGCTGCCTCTATCTCCTGAGTGCCTGGATTAACAGTGTGTGTAGCAAGATACATAACAGACCCAGAGACAGAAATTGAGGACAAGCTCAAGCTGAAGATCAGAGAAGTAAAGCAGCCAAACCCCGACCTCTTACCTTTACTTGAGGCTGAAAGGGGTGATTCTGTCTCCACCAGCTCTCACCAAGGTTCAGACTACTATCTCCTTTGTGTGGCTGGAGAAAAACCCAGAGACTGACTACTGAAGACCCTTCTACCTTTTATGCCTCTCTAGTGTTGGAATTAAAGGCGTGAACTCTGTTACTCAGTCCTGGGATTAAAGGTGTGCCTGGTTTATGGCTACCTAGTATGGTTGATTTCCTATTTTGATCCACCGTGTTTCAATAAATCATGAACTATATTACACCACAGGTGTGTGCTACCACCACTTGGCTAAATTATGATTATTTCTTGGTGATATGTCTTTTGAGATACAAGGGTTTTTTTGTATGTAGCTTTGGAGCCTATCCTGACCTTGAATTCTGTGAGATCCCCCTGGCTCTGTCTCTAAAATGCTGGGATTAAAGGCATGCACCTCTACCTCACAGCTAAATTAGCTCTTCCTACATGTTTGTTTGCTGTACTGTGTACAGGCTGATCTTGTGGCCTCACTTGTACTCCAGAACATAGTCAGCTGTGTCTAGATCTGGGAACCACCAATTCTGTTTGCCCATGTAATGGCCCATACTCATGAGGATGAGAAAGATGGAACAAATACAACATCTGGGTGGAATTCAGAGGGAGCTCAAGGTCGGTATCTGTGATTTGGGAGATTGTGTCCCATGGGAAATTGTTAAATGATCTGTGAGACGTGCAAGGAGTCACTGGCCTGGGATGGACATAGGGCCGATCACATCTTTCGATATTGTAAAGACAATGCCCTGAGACAGGGTTTAAGGCTAAAGTCTGTAATCCTGAGTGCTGGGATTAAAGGAAAGAACCACCTCACTGGACTTCTTTGAGTATTTTGAGACTTGACTATAATAGACAAGGCTGTTCTAGAACTCAAGATCTTTGTGGTACTGTAGAGATTCTTAGGCCCAGTTTAGAACTCCAGTAAGAATCTGCTCTGTACTTCATACCATTAGCAATCCCTTCTATAAAGCTGCACTGGTTAATGTTTTGTTATTGTTTGAATTATAATTTCCTTCAACTCTAGCCTACAAGTTGTTCTGGGATCTACTACTAGCTTTCTGATAACAAACCTCAAGTCAGGATGAGCTGAAGACTAATCTTTATGAATGTGGTTGCTTCAGCCTTGACTACTTGACTTCATATTTTCAGAGAGTAACATATAAAAAATGAAAGAGCCATGAAGCACATACAAGACACACCTGGGAACTAGAATTAAGGTCCTGAGCATAGAAGATCACAGATGCAGGATGGACAATCCAGCCTTGAGAGACATTGTGTCTAAGTTAATTAGACAAAAAAGATAGATAACCTGCGAGTGTAAATGCAAAGCACTTATACATTGGCCTCAAAACCCCACAACCAAACCACCTATATCAAGACATAACATACCTTATTTGATCCCCTAACCTGGACTTGACTGAAGCACCCTAGAGAAACTAAACTTTTGAGAAGTACTCTTACTCTGTCCATAAAGTGCAGTTACTACAAGTACCTGCAACCATGTGAGGTACAACCATGCCAGGTACAACACGCTGGATAAATGACCCAGAGACTGATATTGGTGGTCAAACTAAAAATTGAATTTCAGAAAAGCAAAGCAGCTGGCAACTAGCTCTTACCTGAGTCTCAGGCTGAAAGGACTGATACATGCACGACTTCTTCACCAAACCTCAAACTGCTGCCTGTCTTGCGTGCCAGCAGAAAGAATGTCTGTATTCAGTTGATACTGAATACTGAAGGCCATGCTTCTATCTTATATACCCCACTCGTGTTGGGATTAAAGGTGTGTGATCTGTCACACTTTTAGACTCATTTAATCTCATGTATCCCTGGGAGGCCTTGAACTCTGAGAGATTGTCTATCGCTCAATCCTGAGTCCTAGGACTAAAGGTGTGTGTCATCACCTTGTAGCTTCTGCTGCAGGGATTAAAGGTGTGAATCCCCACTGCCTGATCTCTATAGGTTGAGGCTGACTATGTTTGATTTCTGAATCCTTAGTCAAGCTTTAATAAATCACAAATAATATATCAGTACAGCCAGGAAACTGTGTACTGTTCAATAATCAAATGCACTAGTCAGGCATCATAGCTAAAAGAGAGCATAACAACACACTCAAAGATAGATAGGCAAGAGCATAGTAACGAGGGTCTAGCCTGACCTTCATAATGAGTTATTTTCAGTAAGCATAGCCAACTTCTCTCCTGCCATCCCTGCATGGAAAACCATCCTTTAAACAGCAAATAAAATGAGGTATGTTTGATGCCTTTTGTCTTTAGCTAGACCCAAACAAAGTGGGTAAGGTGAATGAATGTTCATATTGCCCAGCCTTAGGGTAGCTAGAGACCTTCCAATAGCTGACCCACACCTCCTAAACAAGAAAAACAATCTGATGTGCATTGTTGTTTCTCAAAATCATTATGGCTTTCCCTATCAAGACTAAGAAGAAATGATTCTGATTGGTTCATTCTTTATGTTGCTTGGAAATGATGGAACACATAGGGAAACCTCTGTATCTGCTTGGTTTGATTTGGAAACTTGGGGCCACAACACGTTGATGCATTGGCTGGGTCTAAAGGTCCACCCACGGGACTCTCATTTCAATATGGCAGCACCAGAGACAATCTGCCATTTGGTCCTGTGGATGTAAGCACCATTTTGTGTTTCACATCTGCTTCTGGGTGTTGCCTCTCTGGGACCTTAGAGAGGAGAATCCAGAAAGCAATCAGCCCCTGAGTCTGCACTGTGGTCTCTGATCCATCAGTTTCTGGAATGCTGCCCAGGAATGAATCTAGCTTTTTGGAACCTCTGTGTCTGCCTATGTGGATTCAAATCCTCAAACACACAACACCTTATTGTCCAATCACTTTCCCTCCCCTCTTCCCCCTCTCTCTTTTTTTATGGATGCAGCTGAAGTCAGGACTGCACCATTACTCTGGAAGCTGGGACAGGATGTTTTAGCATTCAATGATAAGCAGGGTTACATAGTGAAACCTATTGTCAGAGAACAAAAAAGATAGAGACAAAACCAAATTTTTGTAAAGCCACAAGAGACAGAAGAGTGAAGGTAACTCACTTGTGTCATTCCAGTCTGATTCCGGAAGTGCTGGAGCAAGGAGATGGAAACAGAGAATTCACTGGGTAGGGAGCAGGAATCTGGCAGATGAAATTATGTACTTAATGAGTATGGATGGGGCCTTGGTAAGATCCAAAGTGGTATGCAAGCCGGCATCAATCAATTGAGAAGGAACAGTGGGACTTAAAGGAAACCCTTGGCTACATTGGG